TTCTAACAACACTATCAGATGCCAAGTCTGTAGGTATGTTAGTGAACAGCGAAATAACATCCAAAGAGACTAAAGATGAATTAGATTGTAGTTTAATATTTCTCAATTTATCGATTAAATCACTACTATTTTTTATATAGCTCGGAGGTTTTATTATCGAATCGTTAATAATCTTGTGTAAATAAAATGATAAATTATAAAACGGACTATTGACAGATGATACTATGATTCGAAGAGGATAATTAATCTTATGAATTTTTGTCAATCCATATGCCCTAGGAGTGTGTGTATTGCCATCAGTGTTAAGTAAACTTTTATAAGTATTATCATCTATAAAACCTTTTCTCTTTCATCTGACTAAAGTATCGCGTAAATCATTGATCATTTTCCTTGTCGGGTCTTTACTAATAACTTCATAAGTATTATTATCTGAGAGCATCAATTCCATCTTGCTAATATAGTCTACTTTATTTAGAGCGACAGTCACATTACCTTTGTCCGCTTTTGAGAACAAAATTTCTGGATGTTCTTTAATGAATTTTTTTGTAGATGTGATCCAATTTAATAATAATTTGTTGTTAGAATTACTTTTTGGAAAATCATTCTGGAACTTCTCAAGAATAGAAACAACATTATTTCTCACACTATTAATTATATTCTTAGGCCGATTGTAAATAATACTTTCAATACTTTTTATGAACTCTATAAAAGTATGTTCAAAATTACTTTTATTGATAGGAAGTCCAAAACCTTCACCCAATTGTAATAAGCATTTCACCTCATCAGGAATATGGCTGTCACTCAAATTGATGAACCACTTATCATTTAGAATGTTTAGAGGAACTGCATCTCCGAATTCTTCCGCTGTGATATATATTCTCTCAACATGTAAACTCACTTCATTGTAAGGTACCACGTTGGAAATAGTACTAATTCTCGAGTCAGAATTGAAAGAACAATTGTAAGATATTGGCTTAATCAAAGATTTACACATCTTTTT